TACGATACTATGCTCAAGGAGGGTAACGCCAGTGCGAAAGACCGCCGTACGGCGATCGATTTAGCTATCATATGTGAGGCTCTGGAACAGGCATCAGGACGTATCCGCTGGATACCCCACGGGAGGATGCCCGTAGATGCGCTCACTAAAGACGACGTGACCAAGTGCAATGCTGCACTGTTCGATTTGATGACCAGCGGGAGGATAGTATTGGTGGACGAGGGGGTCGAGGTGGACAGGAGGCGGGAGGACCCAGGCCTCAAGAACAGATCCCAGGCGGCCTCCCGGAAGCTCCTGGACAATCAGCTCATCAGTGTCACGTATTCCCAGGAGGATCGTCCACATCCAGGTCCCGGAGTACGACCAGTCTTCGGTGGTGGTAGTGTGGTTGGTGGTCTTTCCTCCTCCTCTTCCTTTCCCTCCTGCACTCCTCCCTGTCTGTTTCAGCCGGCTAGTGTCAGCCTCTTCGATTTCAATTTTCAGTGATTGATCTTTGAACCATCCGCCCAGAGACAGGCAAGGAGACCTTGATGAATTCAGGTGCTCTCTGTCCCAAGGACAGGTTGTCGGACACAGGTTCGACCATAGTTATTCTCACTGTTTCTAGAAGTTGCTGAACCTACAAGAAAGTTTGGGGCATGTGAATGCCATCCAGATTTTAATCCCTAGGTTCAGCGTTTGGAGAGTCCGACCGTTTCGCGTTCTGGCTCAAGGGAAAAACATCCCAGGGGCGATCTGCTGCCACAGGAAGCCGTCTTGGGGGCCTGTCTGGGCCCTGTTGGGGCATATGTGGGGGTTGAGAGGCCATATTGGGCGTTTTGGAGGCCTCTTGGGCCGTTTGGGGCCGTCCTGGGGCCGTCTTGGGGGCTTTTGCGCCCGTCATGGGGCCATCTTGGACGCCTCTTGGGCGAGCTTGGGGGCCTCTTGCGCCGTCTTGAGCCGTCGGAATGCTGAGAAGAAGCAAATGCCAAGATCTTTCAAACACCTACGGAAAATGTATGATTTGGGCTTTTTTTCGGGCCCTCCTTGAAAACCTCCTGGACGCTTCTGGGCCGTTTTGGAGGCCTCTTGGGGGCATCTTTTTGGGCCTTCCTGCGCCATCCTGAGGCCATCTTAGTCCGTATTGGGTGCATATTGGGCCGTTTTGGAGGCATCTTGGGGCCATCTTAGCCGTCTTGGAGGTCATCTTGGCCGTCTGGGGGGCCTCTTGGGCCCTCTTGGGGCCGTCTTGGGGGCCTCTTGGGCCGTCATGGGGCCATCTTGGAGGCCTCGTGGGCGATCTTGGGGGCCTCTTGGGCTGTCTTGAGCCGTCGGAATACTGAAAAGAAACAGATGCCATGATCTTTCAAACACCGAAACACAACACATGATTACGGCCTCTCCGGGGCTTCCTGGAGGACCTCTTGGAGGCCTTTTTGGGCCGTTTTGGAGGCCTCTTGTTGGGCCGTCTCGGGCCATCTGAAGTGCATCTTCGGCCGTCTTGGAGGCATCTTGGGGCCATCTTGGCGGTCTTGGATGCCATCTTGGGCGTTTTGGAGGCCTCTGGGGCCGTCTTGGGGGCCTCTTGGGGCCCTCTTGGGGCTCTCTTGGGGCCTTCTTTGGAGCCCTGGAAGGCCTCTTGGAGCCATCTTGAAGGCTATCGATCAAAGGAGGAGCTGGGACAACGTTCAGCCCCCCCCAAAGAAGCCAAAATGGGGCCACAACCACCGTAAAACCAATGATGTTGGCGCCCAGAGGGCCAGTGGGATAACGTTTCACCCCCCAAAGCAGGCCAAAATGGGACCACAACCGTACTAAAACCAATGATTTTGGCGCCCAGAGTGCTGGTGGGACATTTTTCAGCCCCCCCCCAAGAGGCCAACATGGGGCCCAAACCTGAGGAAAACCAATGAGATTGGCTTCCTCGCCGAGGCCGTTTTGGACGGCCTGACACCTCGTGGGTTCCCCCAAAAAAGTACAGGGGAGGGGGAAGGGGAGGGGTAAACCCCTCCCCGTAGGGGAAGAGGGTTTTTTTTGGAAGAGGGAAGAGGAATCTCGTTAGACCACCTGTCGCCCAAAGGGCTGGTGGGATTACGGCTACGGCAGGGCCAATGACGTTTGCTGCGACTGCGGCGGCGGCAACGGGGATCCAACCCCGATCCCGACGCCGAGCTCCACGCCCAGTCCCACGCCCAGTCCCACACCCAGTCCTACGCCCAGCCCGTCGCCCAGCCCAACGCCCAGCCCACCGCAAGCGTCGCCAGCCGCCGCTACCGGCGATCCACACCTACAGAACATGTTCGGTCAGCGGTTCGACTTGGCGAGGCCGGGCACGTCTGTCTTGGTCAGTGTTCCACGCGGAACGCCCGTCGAGGACGCGCTGCTAGTTGTAAAGGCCGATGCGCGTCGATTTGGGGCACATTGCTCGGACATGTATTTCCAGGAGATCAACGTCACAGGGGCGTGGGCGAACAAGGCGCGGCCTGGGGGCTTCCACTTCGACGCTCGCGGTGCGCGAGACGAGACGCCGAAGTGGCTGAAACTCGGGCCGGTGGAGCTCAAAGTCGGCAACGGTCATACCGACAAGGGGCAGCATTATCTGAACGTCTACGTCAAGAACCTTCAGCGCGTTGGGTTTATTGTCGGAGGGCTGCTGGGAGAGGATGACCACGCGGAGGCTGCGGCGCCTGAGGAAGGGTGCCAGAAGACGCTGTCACTGAAGGCTCGCCCGTATGGTGAAGTTGCGCATGGACAGGGCTCCGTCGCAATCGGATACTGAGCCGAGAGCTCCCGGCTCCGCGCGGCGCGCTCGAGCCCGCTCGCGATGGGACGGCTCGCCGGCCAGTCGCCGGCCACCCGTTCTTTGCGAGACGAATAGTATTATGGACGCGCCAGATGCCTCCAATAATGTGTTTGGCTGAGAAGAGCCCATACTTGTCCCTTCTGCTTTCCCCGCCGATTAGGTCGTTTCGGATGCATCACGGCTTATTCGGTTGAGAAGAGCCGGAGCTGTGGGACCGCTGACCTAGCAGGCGATCTTTGAAATTGGCGCCCGTGTCGTCTTCACACAGCATCACCGAACATATCATAACATGACATCAGAGCATAGCGGCACGTGTTGACAGAGCAGGTCATGATCTATTTGCCAGAGCCGAGCCGTCAAACAACATACTAGCACATAACACGCCAGAGCATAACATGACATAACAGACGACGGCGATAAAATACAACAGCAGTGAACCTAACCGAGCTAAACAAAACACACCGTGACGTAACGTATCATATCATATCATGCCAGCATCAAATGACATACCTATACGACCACCCTTCGGGTGATAAGGAGGTGAGGGGGGAGGAGGCACCAACGTGTCACTCAATACATCTCGCAACCGATCCCACTATCGATCTCACTATCGATATCACTCGATCGATCTCACTATCGATCTCACTATCGATGTCACAATCGGTCTCACAACCGATATCATTATTGATCTGATTCAGTCGATCTCACTATCGATCTCACTACCGATCTCACATTCCGTTTCACTATCGATCTCACAATCGATCGCACACTCGGTCTCGCATTCGGTCTCACTATCGATCTCACTATCGATCTCACCATCGATCCCACATTCGGTCTCATAATCGATCTCGCTATCGACCGCACTATCGATCTCACTATCGATCTCACTATAGATCTGACAATCGATTTTACCCCACAATCGATCTCACTATCGATCTCACTATCGATCTCACTATCGATTTCACATTCGGTCTCACTATGGAACTGACGATCGATATCACAATCAATCTCACAATCGATCTCACAATCGGTCTCACTATCGATCTTTCAATCGATCTCATAATCGGTCTCACTAAGGATCCCACAATCGATCTAACTATCGATTTCACAATCGATCTCACTATCGATCCCACTATCGATCTCACCATCGATCTCACAATCGATCTCACTTTCGGTGTCACTTTCAATTTCACGATCGATCTCACTATCGATCTCACTATCGATCTCACTACCGATCCAACATTCGGTTTCACATTCGGTCTCACAATCGATCTCACTATCGATCTCACCATCGATCTCACTATCGATCCCACTATCAGACCATGGACCTCACAGTATATCTCACTATCGATCTCACAATCGATCTCACATTCGGTCTCACTATCGATCTCAATCGATATCACATTCGATCTTACAATCGATCTCACATTCGGTCTCACGATCTCACTATCGATCTCACTATCGATCTCACTATCGAGCCCACGATCGGTCTCACAGTCGATCTCACTATCGATCTCACGATAGGACACCGACGGGACACCGACGGGACAACGGCGGGCCACCGACGGGACAATGTGGGCCACCGCTTGACAACACCGGGGGGGGAAACATTTGTGTTGGCGGACCCCTAGCGACAGCAGAGTGAACTCCTCTCGCCCGCCCACGCAGCTTCGCCTCGCCCGCACGCACGACACGAACACGAAACCGAAACCGATTTCCCGGTGGGGGGCTCTCCGTTCCATTTCGATCTCACCCCCTCACCTCCGATCATACCACGACCGTGGCGCCTAGCCAAATCTACTAGTAGAGCAGATCATACCATACTATGCTCGAGCTGTCAACAACATCACGGAACAAAGCATACTATCACATAGTTTGGTATAACAGTTTATGTCATGACAAAGTCCCGTTGAGCAGATCATACCATAACATGTCAAAGCATATGGTGGCAGGGATGATCATAACATAAACCATACCATAACCAATCATATTACATGTTTATATACATATATATATATATATGTTGAGCGGAGCATCGTAACAGACGACGCATCGAACGTCACAGGCGTCACGGCGTCACGCTGGCCCGTCTAGAACATAACAGGACATATTGGAGCATAACATGAACAAACGTGGCTACATGGAACACGGTTAAACCGTTTTGGACCCCAAAACGGCAGTTGTGCGGTGGTGGTGGGAGGAGGAGGAGGAGGAGGACACGTAGGGAGGAGAGGTCCGCTTCACCTCCCTCCTCTTCCTCCTTCGTCGTCCGCCTCCTCCTGCTCCTCTTGCTGATGCTCTTCCACTTCCTCTTTCAACAGGTTGCGGCTCTATCCGTTTCGCACCGCAAGTTTTCGAAGCTTGCTTTTTCACCCCAGGGTTTCTTTCGGTTTTTTTCGTCAAGAGCTCTGGGAATGTTGGATTTGGAGACAACGGAATTTGCCACCCGGTCCGACCGCCGCACTGGCCGAGACCACAGGGCCCCGCGCGCAGCGTTCCACCAATTAGGCGACCGCGCGCCGTCTGGAACAAACGCTTCAGGTTTCGGTGGGGGTCGCTCAAAGCAGAATAATTTTAATATCCCACCGTAGCGTCAGGTATCGGGGGGGGGGGGGGGGGGGGGGGGGGGGGGGGGGGGGGGGGGGGGGGGGGAGGGGGGGGGGGGGGGGAGGGGGGGGGGGGGGGGGGGGGGGCGGGGGGGGTGGGGGGGGGGGGGGGGGGGGGGGGGGGGGTGGGGGGGGGGGGGGGGGGGGTGGGGGGGGGGGGGGGGGGGGGGGGGGGGGGGGGGCGGGGATCGGGCCCCCGGTGGAGGGTTAACGGGGACCGGGCAAAAACGAACGAAGCTAAGTAAAAAAGAAAAGAAAAAATAAAGAAAAAAAACGTGGTCGGTACGGGTGGGCGAAGGGGGGTACGTAGAAGGAGGGGAAGGAGGGGCGAGAGGTGGGGGGGAAGGGAGAAAGCGACGCAGAGGTAGGAGAGGAGAGGAGCGGGGGGAAAGGGCCCAAGGGGGGGTGCCCTCATCCAGACGCTCTTTACGACAACGGAACCGGGGCCGACGAGGAGGAGGAGGAGGACGACGACGACGACAACAACTATATAACAGCGAGCGACAACGACGACGGCGACGACGTCGACGGCCGCCTCTGAAGGTCTCTAGAGGCCTCTGAAGGTCTCAGCAGATCTCCAGAGGCTTCCAGAGGCGTCTGAAGGCCCTTGGAGGCCCCCGCAAACGAGGACAACGATGACGAGAACAACCTCGACGACGACCGACGACGTTGACAACGACGATTCCGGCCGCTTCTGAAGATCTCCAGAGGTCTTTGGAGACCTCAGGAGAAACCCGGAGGAGGCCTCTGGAGGCGTCCGAAGGCCTTCCGAGGCCTTCGGAAACGACGACGACGACTGCGGCGACGATGAGGAGGACGACCAGGACGACGACGACGACGACCACGACGACGACGGTGACGACGACGGCCTCGACGACCGCTCCTGTCGGCTTCTGGAGGACCTCCGATGCTTGTCAGCACCACACCATGCCTGTGAGCACGACGCCATTCCTGTTGGGGCCCGATAGCCCACCCCTCCCAGGAACGTGCGGATCCGCCGCTGGATGCAGGACCGTTTTCGGCAACTGCAGTGGGTTCGGTTACGCGGGGGTGTGGTTTGCGATGGGCGCCGTGGGGTCTCCCTGGTCACGGCGTTGCGCCAAAGGTTTGATGAGCCACGACCAGCTTGAACGGGGTTCGTTGTCGGTGGCGTCGCAGACGTCATCCATGTGAGACACGAGGCCGCCTCGCCTGCCCAACAGCGGCCGCTGTCTGGGTTTGGACACATGTTTGGGGCATCGTACCTGTCTTGGCTCAAGCCATATTGTCTCCAGGCGCACACGCGTGTGCACTCCGAGGACGCACACATCTCTCACCGTATCTCCGTGGTACAGTCGACTTGCAGATGGCACATCTCCTTTTGATCGCTAGCCTCGTCGGGGTCCGCGGCGCGTCCTGGTCTGGCCTCAGGCAGACAACCCTCCAGCTGGTGCTGCAAGCAGGCAAATTCGCACCGACAGCTATTGACGAGGAGGCAGCGTGCCCAGGGCGGTGCGAGCTCGACGAGGTGCGCCGACACGCGGGACGACTGGGAGGACGACGCTGGTAAAAGCTGCAGTGAGTACGCGGCACTGGACGGTTACAACGACGCAGGCCAAAGCCTTCACTGCAGTACTTTCGGAAACGAGAATTCTTCACGCTTCGCGCATCCCCACCAGCCCATTCCGAAGCCCTGCCCACGAGAGTTGACGGGAAAAGGGACGACGGGACACATCTAGGGAAACAAAGCGAGCAACCGGGATGAATCGAGAGATCTTGGGGAGCAAGGGGGTGGCCTTGGAAGGCCTCTTCGGGCCATCCCTGGGGGCTGCGTGGGGGCGAGGGGGAGGAGGAGGAGGAGGAGGAGGAGGAGGAGGCCTCTTGGGCGCCTCTTGGGTAGTCTCGGGGCCCTCTCGGGGCAGATCATGGGTCCTTAGAGGCCATCTTGGGCGTCTTGGAGGCCTCTTGGGCCGTTTTGGGGCCCTCTTGGGGCCGTCTTGGGGGCCCTTTGGGCCGTCATGAGGCCATCTTGGAGGTCTCTCTGGCGATCTTGGGGGCCTCGTGCGCCGTCTTGAGCCGCCGGAATGCAGAGAAGAAGCAAATGCCAAAATCTTTCAAACATTGGCCGTCTGCGCCATCTTGAGGCCATCTCAGGCCGTCTTGGGTGCATCTTGGGCCGTCTTGCAGGCATCTTGGGGCCATCCTAGCCGTCTTGTAGGCCATTTTGGCCGTCTTGGAGGCCTCTTGGGCCCTCTTGGGGCCGTCTTTGGGGCCTCTTGGGCCGTCATGGGGCCATCTTGGAGGCCTCGTGGGCGATCTGGGGGGCCTCTTGGGCAGTCTTGAGCCGTCGGAATGCCGAAAAGAAGCAAATGTCAAGATCTTTCAAAGTCCTAAGGAAAGTCAATGATTTTGGCATCTTCGGGCCCTCCTGGAGGACCTCTTGGAGGCCTCTTGGGCCGTCATGAGGCCATCTTGGGGGCTTCTTGGGCCGTCATGGGGTTATTTTGGAGGCCTGGGCCGTCTCAGGCCATATGGAAGCTATCTCAGGCCGTCTTGGGTGCATCTTGGGCCGTCTTGGAGGCATCTTGGGGCCATGTTGGCCGTCTTGGAGGCCATCTTGGGCGTCTTGGAGGCCTCTGGGGCCGTCTTGGGGCCCTGGAAGGCTTCTTGGGGCCATCTTGAAGGCCATCG